ATCACCAAGCATACGGAGTTCTGGAGGCTTGTGTGTACTCAGAGCTGCTAGGCACTCTCTTAGGCCTTAAGGGCTTTTCTAGTACAAGTGCCTCACAACAGTGATTCAATCTCTGCCAGGCAGAGACCTAGAAACAAAAAGCAATAGAGTTGTATTCCATATAAAATGTGGACTTCACATGTGAAGTCACAGAGATGCAGCACATTTCTCTGTGGAGTATTTCACATTCAGGAAACTAACCTCTTTGGTTTCAAAGGGCTAAGCAGGGAAAGAAGTTGCTTCCTGGGGAAAACTGCAGTTTAATCTGCAGAAGCACTCTACAAAGTGTGTTTGTGTTCTATCCTCATACTGAGCCTATCACCAAGTATACAGGATTCTGGAGGCCTGTGTTCACTCAGAGCAGGTAAGCACTCTCTTAGTCCTTAAGGGCTTTTCTGGTACAAGCACCTCAGAATAGTGTTTCAATCTCTGCCAGGCAGAGACCTACACACAAAAAGGAATACAGTTGTACTCCACATAAGACGGGGACTTCACTGGTAAACTCACAGAGTTGCAGCCCCTTTCTTTGTGGAGTTCTTCACATTCAAGAAACTAAGTGCTTTGGTTTCTAATGGCTTAGCGGTGAAAGAAGCTGTTTCCCAGGGGAAACTGCAGTTTTGTCCACCCTGCCCTGCATTCCTTCTGACTTTGACTGATGGAGGAAACAGCTCTGAGTGGGTAGCCAGCCAGTCTGACTAGTCCATTGGGCCCAAGATCTCTGGTCACTTGGATCACTAATGCTTAATGCTTCTCTAATTACAGACATGTCTCATTCCTGGCTATTTAATGGCCTCACCACAGTCTATGACTCCACATCCTGGCTGGAAGTCTATCTTCATTAACTTAAACTGTACATCATAACCTTCTAGTTTTACAATAACCCATGGGCCGGCCCTCCCAGAGCCCTAGCAATGTGACAATTTTAGTATTTGAACACAAAGAGAGATAAGAATTTATAACTTCCATCTTTGAAAAGGAAAAACTCTATTTAATAAAGTGTTTTTCTAAGAAGATATTTATGCCAGTAAGGGAATGATGCATAAGTTTTCTTCTATTCATTTCATTTATTTCTTGAAAGATCAATATTAAGATTCTCCATGTTATTGAAATTGGATAAGAATGGAGACTTTGAAAATCAAATAAAACCATCAAGAGACTTATGCTGATGTAGGGTTTAGTGTACATGAAAGTAAAAAACAATTACCTAGGTTAGAACTTTCATTTTATTCAAACTGTACTTGGTTTCATAATACTAATAATGATCACATTTGTTAGCTTTCTTTAGGTAATCCTTCATATACTGAACAGTTTTAGAAGCAATTTTGATGTATGTTATCTTTGAAGATATTCCCTAAACAGTGCAAGTTGTCTCCATTTATATAGAGGGAAAGCTGAGGACTTTAGTAAGTTATACACAGTTGATTGCAAAGCTGAGATTTTTCTTTGAAGATATTCCCTAAATACTGCAAGTTGTCTCCATTTATATAGAGGGAAAGCTGAGGACTTTAGTAAGTTGTATACAGTTTATTGCAAACCTGAGATTTGAACACTACATTACTTGATTCTAAACTCTATTCTGTTGTACCCAATCCACTCTATTTCCTTTAGACTTTGCCACATAATGATCAAATAATATCTACACATTTAATAAAGCAATGTTACTGCCTCTGTGTTCCTAAGGACATTTGATTTCAAACTTCTAATATATTAATAATATAACTTTTATAACAATAGAATCAAGTGATTTCATTAAATATTTATTTTGAGTCATGTAAATATTACTCATTTAATCTTAAAAAATATTCTTATATTATGTGGGGGATTTAGCTCAGTGGTGCTCCCGCCTGCCTCACAAGCACAAGGTTCAGAGTTTGATACCTGGTAAAAAAAAAAAAAAAAAAAATCCTTATGTCATCATTTTCAGGTGAAGATCTTAAGGCTTAGTGAGGTAAGTACATCACTCTATTGTCTCTAATAATAATAATACTTAATGATGTATATTATATTTAGATGTATTTTAAGTTTCTTCCTATCATACAGTGAAACTCTTAATAGAAGGGGCCACAGGACAGTTTTCTTCTTGATTAGAACTGTGTGTGGCCCAAAATAAGCAAATTTGATTAGTATTTGTTAAATAATGAGCAGTTTTAGTTACAACTGAATCATTCACTAGCTTGTTCAGTTGAATAGAACACGCATTCTGGAGTAAATCATGAAAATGTTTAGAAGGTGATATGAATGCATGACTAAGTCATGATTTTTAAATTATTGCTTCACATGATTTTTCTAGTTTTATTAAATCCTGTCATGTAGCAGTTAAATCTTTCGATCCTTTTCCATGTTGACTATAATACACTGAGAAATATTTAATAATATTTAATAATACTGTAAATGAAGGTTAAAAAGACACGAAAATTAAATTGTCAATTGTGCAAATTTTATTTAACACAATCATAAAAATAAAATTTTAAATTACTGTATTTAATTATTCTTGCCATTAATGAATTAAATTCTGACACATTAAATAGCAATTAAGTGGACAAGGTCAGTATGTGTAGGGGGATATTTCTGACTTCAGGCCTTGAGTCAGAATGGCAGGTGCTCAGTTCTGGCTAGGTTAATCACTACTTGTGTGTCCTCTACCTTAGCTTCTTCATTAGTAAATTTCCATATAATACACAATTAGCAAATGTGATATCACTATTTCCAAATATCTCCTGACAAAAGTGAAAATTAATTCTGCAGCAGTGAAACACCTGGTTCCGGGTGGTCCTACAGTCCGGATATTGTACAGTTCTGGTGTCTGTTTATCCAGGCTTTGTTCATCTGTGTGGAGCATATCGATTTGTCCTCTCTGTCTCAGTGAGTCTTACTGCTTGTGTTTAGTCATGCAAAGCAGCTTACTTATATTGATCAATTATATTAATACAAATACTCCTCCACTCCACCATTTTAAATCCTAGGATTGAAAGTTGTTCAATTTATAAGAAAGAGAAATAGGAATACTAAAAAGCAAACAGCAGTTTCTCTGGGAAAAAAATGAAATCCCAAAATACTACAATTAGTAAGAAAAAAATGACTTGACACTCATTTCTCAAGCATTCTGTATGGAATATTAGTAAATTGTGTGTGGAAGAGAGAGGCAAGTAAACATGGTTCTACCTGTAAGTAGCTCATCATCTGAGAACTAATTCGATGTTATTCTATCCTTCCTTTGATCTTTTCTCTTCTGTTTTTCTCAATTTCAATTGTAATATTCATTTTGAACATTCTCTGTCTTTAAATGGTTTCCTTGGGCTGGGGAATAGTTTTTCTTGGACTTGAAAAGCCACAAGATATCCTTGCAATAAATCAAATTTTAAAAATCTTGAAAAAATTTCAGCAGCTACCTGTGGTCGCATAATTTTTCCTAATGTGTTTTTATTGAAGGAGCTTCTAAGTATTTTCCCCCTTGTTATGATTTATATCTAGATGTCCCTCCAAAGTCTTATATGCTCATAGGTGGGGATTTGGGGAGGTGATTGAGTCCTAGGGGTGTGATGATCATCAATGAATTAATCTAATGTAATGTTAGGAGGTGAAACCTAGTGGGTTGCTGGGGACATGGCCTGAAAGGGTGACACTCCCTCCCACCTCTCTTGATCGCTATGCTCTGTGCCTGATTTGCCGTGAGCTGGTTCTCCTCTTCAGGCCCTGCTGCCATGCCACCCTGCCTTGGAGCCAACTTACTGCGGACTGAACCCTCTACAACCTGTGAGTCAAAATATTTTCTCTTTTGAGTTGTGGGTGTTGAGTATTGTAGTTCACCAATGAAGAAAGTAACTAAGAGACTCCCTCTAGTCTTATGGACCTCTACTAGTTTTTCTTCTGCAAACCTTGTTCTTTCCTCATGATATAATCTGAATATCAATTTACTCAAAATAATATGCTCCAGCTAGTCTGCCCAGAGTTAAAATCACTAAACTTACCATTCTTTTGATTTGATATCTAAAGGTCTCCTAACTAAAACTTTATTTTTTAAAAAATTCTACATACTTTTATTGGTATGATCAAATTTGATCACTGCATGTGAAGAATGATGAAGATGAAAACAATTTATCTTGCTAGATTATAACATAGGATTGAAATTAGAAAAGAAAAAGGGAAAAATCTAGGTTAGGAAACAAGAGATAATATTCAAATGATAAATCTATTGTCATCTGCATCCATTTGAAAAAAGTGCATACACTGTGTGATCTATAATCATCTATCAAATTGTACTTAGATAGTATAGCTCATACATAC